GATGCCAACAAAATGGATCTATTCAATTTCTTAGCGCAGAAAGTTATTTCCCAGCAGATTCCAGAAGGAAGAGAAATTTACAGTACATTTGAAGAAAAGGTCTTGTGCTTCCCTAAAAGAACCGAAGTATCAATGTTGGAACCATGTAATCATGAAGAGGCTGACACACGATTGATGGTGCACGTGTTCGATGCAAGTGACTGCGGCCACCAGATTGTTGTAAGAACAAATGATACTGACGTATTGATACTGGCCATTTCAATTGTGAAAACATCAAAGCAGAAGAATTATGGACAGGCACAATTCGCGTTATATTGCATACAATTGCACGACATCGGATGACAAGGCATCTGTTCTACCGTTGTTGTGATACTGTTTCCTTTTGGAGGTCGAGGAAAGAAAACTGCATGGGATGTATGGAATGTATTTCCAGAGCTAACATTAGCGTTGCAAGAGCTAAATTTGTTGCCAGAAAGGATTGATTGTTCGTCCTTGCAGGTAATTCAGAAACCGCCAAAGGCATGTATTATCTATCAAATAAGGTCCCTATTATGATTCATATAATGTTTTGCAGGTGATTGAGTGATATGTGGTCCTCTTATACGATCGTACAAGTAATCTCACCAGAGTCAATGAAGCTAGACAAGAGTTGTTTGCCAAAAAGTCCAGAACACTGGATAACATTCCACCAACCCAAGAAGCGTTGCTCCAGCACACTAAGCGTGCATTGTTGCAAGGTGGATATTTTTTGGGGGCAGTGCTGCTTGAAAGAGCAGGTTATACCAACTCCGTCAGGTTGGGGCTGGTACCGTGATGAAAATTCTTGATTACCAAAGTGGACAAATCTCCCTCAAGTTAAAGATGCCTGTTATGAACTTATTCGTTGCGGATGCAAAAGTTCATGTTCTAGTCGTTGTAAATGCGTCAAAGCACATTTAGTTTGTACTCGTTTGTGTGATTGTGGGGGTGATTGTCAATAACATGAGGGCATTAAAATTATTTTAATATTACTGTTCTTCGTTAGGCGTTTTTCCAATGTATTTAAGAAAGAGCAACAGCACTAAACAAAAGTGCTGAGTCAGCACGTTTAAAACACTTTTAATGTAGAATATTTCAGAATGTATTGCTCAAAAGCAAAAGTTGTAATATAGTTTTTTTATCGTCTTTAGCTGTTGTATAAGAATATACAGGGAAATTGCAGATTTCTCTGAACTTTATTTTTTTTACTACCGATGACGTCATCAAACACGACATTCGCAGAACTCGTTTTAAATGTAAAATATGGGCTGGCCCTATATCAAAATTTTGTGTTACTAGGCATAGTAAGAATGTGAGAAAGTTTAATCCTTGTATCATCAAAGTGAGGAATTTCGTCATTAACAGCTGGACTATAAAGCAAGACCACTCCATTGAGTTTTTTCGTGCCACGCATATCTTATTACGCATGTGACTACCATATTGGCAGCCAGTAAATTGCATTTTGTGACCAATAGGATTGACGATATGGCAAAGGGCAGCCAGTAAACTAATTAAATATACAGCAGCCAATTGCAAAGCGAAGTGGCCCTACTGTTGTATATTCCTTTACTGTGGATATGCTGACCCGAAGGAAACAAGAAAACTTATATAAACACTATTGAGTGCTTTACAACAAATAGCGTTTTGTATAGACAACTGAAAATTACGTGAAAGAGCTAGGAGAGTTGTTTGCAACATGTTTAGGTCGGGTTGCGTTTGCCTAAGTATAAAGCTAATTTAAGATTAATAGAGAATTGAGATATTTTCAGTGTCTAAGATAGAGAAGCAGGAGCGGGTGTATTTAGATTTTTTGTTCATTAAATTATTAACTTAATAAACCTTGTATCCTCTTTAATGAACGGAAGAATGCTTAAACTCTCTATCAGCGAAATTAGAACTGGCAATCCAAATGGATTCAAATCAGACTCTGGTCGCTGAAATAAAGAACTTTGAGGATCTGAATGAAAAGCATCAATCATGTGATCAACATTTCGTTGATCCATTATTATCATTGTGATCTTCTTTTGAAATGGCCATGTTTGTAGAGCATCGTAATCACCTAGAAATAATATCATACACAATATAAATATTTATAATAATATGATATAAGTCTTAATAAATCCCAAGGCATACCTTTCCCGTCTATCATCATTTATTTTCGTACATGATCAATAAAACTAAAAAGTATCGCATCTTACAAACAATTGTAAGCTTTAGTCTGCTTTTTCGGTGAATTGAAAATAAAAATCTTTGCCTTTATACTCTTCATACCATGTTCAACACTATTCAACAACTTGTTCCAACTAGACATCTAACTTCTAATCCTATCTATTCCAAACAGCACAAAGAGTCAAGTGACGTATTCTGAACTCTTAGAACGTCTCAAAGGTTAGGTGATAGGATCAAACATCATGTACCAACTTCAATCAGAAATAGAACGATTCCATCAAGACAACAACCAAAACGTGATTGTGAGAAAAATTAGTTTAATGTGACTCTGCGATAGGTAAACGTCTCTTGAATAACTCCCATTGTGATGATTCTTATTCAAACGACAATTTTAGAATTATTAAGAAATGCCGTTCATTCTTTCAGTTACGCGTCATGGAGGCTGTTTTAATTAAGTTAACCAATCCCGTCCTTGCAAAAGGATTATGTTTTCAATTTATCTTTGTTTTGAGCGTCATCTCCCCATTTGGAGATGACGTACATTCTTTCTTGGCTTTACAAATATCGGTAGATTTTAAATTTTCATTTAGCAGACGTTGACATCTAAGGAGTGGTCTCCCAAAATGCATTGTGTCGTTTAATTTCACTATTAAATTATTACTTTTACCATTCACAATGGTATTTGCGATCTTTAGAACGATTTTCAGATTTGTCACCACGACAAAGTCTCTATTTTATTAATTAGTTATTAATTTAATTACGCATGCGTCATTGATATGGTCATGTGACTGAATTTGAGAACATGTAGTCGTAAGCTATTAAAGCTTAGTATTTCGTTTGTATTCTATATGTTTTTGATAATAAATCGTTGAGTAATTAAGAAATTCGATGATGCAAAAGCTTGAAGAATCCCTTATTACAAGTAAATACACATGCTAAGAGATTACAAGTATTGAATTTTCTCCGGTTTTGTGCATACGTGTGGACAGGTGGAAACGATTTAAATACGCTATGTGTGGACGCAAATTTGTCCGGTTTTGTGCATACGTGTGGACAGGTGGAAACGACTTAAATACGCTATGTGTGGTCGCAAATTTCTCCGGTTTTGTGCATACGTGTGGACAGGTGGAAACGATTTAAATACGCTATGTGTGGTCGCAAATTTGTCCGGTTTTGTGCATACGTGTGGACAGGTGGAAACGATTCAAATACGCTATGTGTGGTCGCAAATCTGTTCAGAAACGGAGGAAAAATCTCCGTATTTTTAAAAATATGTATACGTGTGAACATGGAGTTAGTGCAATAAAGTCCTGTTGCAGGATTTTAAAATCCAATGCAGACAGCACAATCAGGGCCAATACGTCTGGGAGAAGGGTATAGGGGTGATACACCCCAAATCTTGGACTCGTAGGCAAATAGCAGGAACTTTTCTGGCGATTTTTTTATTATGAAATAAAATACAATCTGATGTACTGAGCGATATAACACAAAAGTAATATTATCAAAATATTAAATTGTTCCATAGTTTCCCAAAGTACATCGTGTAAATTGCCGTAAATCCTTCTCCACATGTCTTCATTTCTCCACATTAAATTTACGAATCCAGTATATTCGTATCTCGTATCATTAGGTTAATTAGTCCGTGTTGTTACCCGTGTGAAATTTATTGTATCAAAGAATAGTTACTAGTATTCACTTGCAATAATTACGAACTCACATGTCATGCCTTGTTGAATAATATCTTTGAGAGGAATATATGGTCTATAGAGTACAAACGTAATTTAGGAAATATAATATAAACGATAGGTGAGATAAGCACGGTTACATAATGACAATTTGCTACATACATATCAACACTGGTTTAAATGTTTAAATACAAGCACAGTGCATCAAGTCTCATCACAGTGTAGTATTCTCTCAAACGATATATATTTGATGTTTGCCAAATTCTGCGAAGCTTATGCTTGCGTAATGTCTCCAGCTGTTAAATTTCAACATAATAAAATAAAAAACAGAAAGGTTATGCGCACCAAACACAACGTTAGTTGTATTTACAAAATTTTGTTGTGCAAATCGATGAAATGAAATGGAAAATAGTCCGTTATAGTCCTAAGTAAACTGAATACAAAGTAGCACACGCTGTGTTCTGGAGATAACGAAAAATAGCTAAAATATTTGCATCGATTGAGAAAAGAGGAAGCAATTAGTTTATTATCTTTTTTGATTATGTGATAACAAAAGCTATAATTCAATATCAAAATAAATTTTATGGCCAAAATGCACCAGCCAGCAACTATTATGGGTAAAGAAAGTAGGTGGCCCATCTATGGTAATGTCAAGATAAATTACTACAACAAATTTTGGCGTAAATTTGCATTTCTAAGCATCTTAGAGATAATTAAGTGCATTGTTAAAATTATATTCTTTACAAATTCATGACTACTAGTGTTTTTCTGAAAGTACTATGAATAAAATTGACGAGCTAAAATTTATTTTTCAACGAACTCTGAACCACTACAGAAGGAAGTGTTGTTACTAGAAGATAGCAAATACAAGTTGGTAAGCGTTACGACCAAATTCAAATGGTGCCTCCAGATTTCTAAAAAGTTACGATATCACAAACAATAAACCATCACGGGTTTCAAAGTCTAAGATAAATACTTTTGGAATTGTTCCTACAAAGCATTGTAGGTACCTTCGTAATACTGGGCCTGAGTGTACAAAATGCGTTGGTCGACTTATTGCATCTAAACGAAATAAACGAGTTTAGAACATTGTTTGTCCAATTTTCTTAAACTCAAAATCGAAAACAATGCAGATATCAAACGTTTTAATTCCTTACTAACTCGGTACATATCATTTACATGCAGTAAATTGTTTCTATAATTTCATTCATCTTTGCGACCAGTCCGTCATGTGTACCAAGGTCACAACGGTGTAATTCCCCAGTCTTCATATTCTCTTGTTTTACAAAAGTCAGGTTTAAGACCTTCTTTGTGCCCTTTTCCATCCGATACTCCCTGGCACACATAACACCATTGTCTAAATTTACTTTCCCAAAATCTTCCAATCACAGTGTCGTTAATATGACCTAAGCCTTTTACTTTCCATTCCAAGAACTTATTATACTCAGTTTTGTTGTTCATTAGAAACTTAAGTCGCTCCGCCAATTCTTTGGGAGACTTAAAATCTCTGACATTGATAATGGCATTTTCAGATTTCCAGGCAAAAATCATTAATTTTATCCGTGCTCATCACCACAGGTACTGCACCTGCGTTAAGTGCATTAAGAATTTTTCATCAACATAGTAATCACAATCTTGGTTGAAAAACACAATAACAAACTTGTATAATTTTTCCACATCTTGTTTTGCTTCTCTAAAGTTTGGTGCCCAGCGTCCTACTATACCATCTTTATTATGTAAACATCCACCATAGGAATCGACATGAACATGTTCCATGAGATGTCTTATATACGCTGTCCTGACAGCTTCGCAGTTGGAAAGAGTAGCAATAATTCCTCCCGTTTTTTTCTCAAACGGAACCGGTGGATCTAAATTTGGCTTTGTGAAGAGTGGTGTAGGAAAATCAGAATCAAGTCGATAGCTTCTCGACAATTGAAACTGTGACATAAAGTTGCCGTCAGAAAGTATAGGAGTATAAACAGGATTTTCCATACCCGTTAGGATCCAGGGAACATCTTTTGATGGAGGTAGAGGATATGGATCTCTTGAATGTACAATAAATCCATTTGCTTCTTTAGCTCGCTGATGGTCTGATGTAACCTCACAGGCCACAGGACATTCGCCTTCTTTGTCACCTTTTGGCAAGTTTACTTCAAAGGATGCGGGTGAAGCACCAAAAAATTTACTCCAAAACAAAAGAACTATTTTACCTGTTCGTAATGGAGACGATGTTATATTTATTGCAATGGTAGACGTTGTTTCGGACTTATAAGTAGACACTGTTTTAGATTCATTAGTAGAAGTTGTTCCAATTTGATGAGTAGACGTTGTTTCAGGTTGACGAGTAGACGTTGTTTCAGATTTATTGGTAGGCGTTATTTCAGGTTGATGAGTAAACGTAGTTTCAGATGCAGGAGCATATTTTATCACAAACTCATTTTGTAAAGATAGATGATCGTAGTAAAACCCACAACAAAAAACGATGGATATGCGGAACTGCATACTACATCCCTTATGAGATAAAGTGGCCATATTTACGTAAGCGAGAGTAGATCGAGGTGTTCGTAAAACCTATATCTATACAAGTTGAAACTGAAAAAGAAAATGTGATAACATGTTAGCAAGTTTTATATGTGACAAAATGTAACAATAAGTTAAAGATATATTTCTGTCTTCAACAATGTCAAATTTTCATGAAATGTTGTTAATATCAATAAAACATTAATGAAATGGTCACTCGCTTACAACGCAATAAGCATCTTACATGATTTGACAAAACGTCTCCATTTTATAAACATGAGCATGCTATGTTTGCTACAATCTTTTCTTAAAATTAAACAGCCACGTGCATATATTATACATCTTATTACTAGCAAACAAGGTTTTTGGCTTGATGAAAGTTGACATTACCACTCACATGTATGCTAATTAAATGGACGTACAATTTCATCATAATTGTCATGCACGTGGGGCAGCTTTAACGAAATTAAGTCGCCCATATTCGTTTCTTACGAAAATGTCGACTGAAGAGAAGGAAAACTGGAAAGGCTTCGTGCTAGAAGAAGAGGACATCGCGGAGTGTGTACTAAACTCGAGAAAGAGTCAGTTGAATTGTTTCGAACTCTGAAATCTCCTGTGATTGGTACGTATTTCCAGCATCGCTCGCAGTAGGCAGCGTAGGATAGAGAGGCGCCGTCGACACCAGAGGTGAAGAAGGGGGCGCGGAGGGCTCACACAAAGTCATACTGCTCCAATAGCAATGTCACTATCGAACCTAAGGTAGAAGATGTTGAAGAAAACCCAATAATGGCCCCCGCGTCAATCTCTAATGCAGGGTTGAAAACTGTGAAAGCTGAAACCAGCCCGCGTGTCTTGCGCACTTCGAAAGTTGTCTTTTCAACATCATTCACTTTCAGCCGGACTGTCGCAACATCGTTTACAGCAGCCGCAATCCCCATGCGAAGCACTCGACTCGAGCTGAGAACTGGCCAAGCGTAGACCATACGCCGGCCCCCCTCTCCGCCTGCAGAGTAATACGCGCAGAAGGGCGTCCCACCATCGTCGCAGCTCTATCGGAACGACGATACTAAAGTCGCTTGGCGGCCTGAGTTTAGGTGAGAACAACCTCCAGCTGAGTACGGGTGGGGCGGTCCAAAGCGTATTCCCATATAGGGATCAAGCTCAGTGGATCTTGCAAACAATGCCTCGAGCGTTCAATGTAGCAACACACTTGCTAGTGATGCGGCTCCCGTTAATGAGGAGCGCATTGATAAAGGCAGCCTCGCTAGTCATCTTGACTCTGACGCTTCCAGGCGTAAAATGACGATCATAATTTATAAGTTTGATCTCGGGTGTTTTAGAGTAGGTGTCAAGCAAGGCCGCCAAATCACCGAACTTCTGTCCTGACCCCAGTACCGCAAGAGCATGCTGTCTGATCTCCTGCAAATTCCTACTCATCAGGCGAAACTGAGGATGGCCGAAGTCGACTATGGCGATAGCGACCACCTCAAAGGGATACCTGCTGAGAAACTGTTGGTTTACTTTATTCGCAAGCACGCGATAGTCAGCCACGATGGCAACACGCATATCCTGATCCGCTTGAGGCTGCCTAAGATTGGCTTCAAACCCTTGAGGGTTTTCCGTAAACAATTGTACCAGCTGCGCACGCGAAGTGAAATAGTTGCTTTTGAGAAAGGCGTCAGGAAACATCTGGCACGCCAGAAAGCGGCCAAAGACGAGCAGCAACAAGCGATCGAACTCCCCCTCTTTACGAGTCTGGAGAGAAGGCGCGGTTGTAATGACCGCCAGGAGTTAGTTTTTCAAACGGAAATCAGCGACGCTGTCGCGAACTTGGCCTGTATCTTCAGAATAGTTGAGCAACCTGGATTTGACCGCGCTCAGGACTGACTCTTCATTGAGAAGCTCAGGATTGCCCTTGAACAAGGCATAGAGCTCTTTTACGCTTGGGTGTTTTTTTTAAAATCAGCAAGCTCAATTTGGATGGGTTAGATCCTGCAAAGGGATGGGTTAGTATATACTGCAATGCTTTACACAGGAAGGAGATGAAATCCCGGTGGCGATTTGATGCTCCAGTCCCATTTGCTTGGGCCCCATTCGGGAGATAAACCAAAACCTCCATAAAGGACTTATGTGCTCGGGTTGGTTTATGATAAACTGGAGGACCTCCATCCCCCGCGCTTTTGGGATGAGGAAGGCCGACAGATAACCATCCGCCATTCGCTCAAGTCGCAGTGGGAGACCATCGACGATCCGGACTCGAATATGTTCAATTTTCTTCAAGAATCTGGTGATATCCCTCCTGAACTACTTTCTCTAATTTTAATTCTTGGTCAGATTTTTCTCAATTAGAGAGGACTTAGCGCGTTTGATAATGTGCTCGGGTTGGTTCTCGATAAACTGGAGGACCGCCGCGCCTTTAGGATGAGGAAGGCCGACAGATAACCATCCGGCACTCGCTCAAGTCGTTATAGGAGACCATCGACGATCCGGACTCGAATATGTTCCTTTTTCTTCAAGAATCTGGTGATATCCCTCCCGAACTTCTTTCTGTAAGTCTTGGTCAGATTTTTCTCAATTAAAAAAGCTGCAAAGCTGCTAGCAAGCTTAAAAAACTTTCTGGTAATGACGGAGAAGGCAAAGCTTTCACTTAAAGTCCACCGCAATAGAATTTTCGTCGTAATAATAGGCGAATTGCTGAGTGGTGCAGTCCATAGTGAGGATCGACCGCTCGCAGCGAGTCAAGAGTTTCTCGTACAGTTTGAAGAAGAGAACCGGTTTATTGCCCGTGCCGCCAAAGAGCGTATTAAGAAACTGCTTCACGCTCGACTTATCCGTGAATCGGAAGAGATAGAGAAAGTTGTGTTAACCTTCATGTCCTTTATGTTGTCGAAGCTCTGGGAGAGGAAGAAGATGTTCAATTTCAGATGATGGCTATACATCGTGAAGAACTTATAGAGGCATTCCCTCTGCGTTCCGCATTTGAGATTCATGACGCGGATGTCGTCTATGATGGCGTAGGACTCCGGTTCTATTCTCGTATCCTCGATCGATTCAGGCATGACGGAATAATGCTTCAAGACCGTGTTAGGTTGGATATATTGATCAGCGAAGGTGTTCGAAATGACGTACAGCCTTTTCGGACGAACGTGAGCAAGGAGCCGTTTCATGAAGAAGCTCTTGCCTATATTGCTCTGACCCAAGAGCAAAACATTTTGCCCCCTATTTTTTGAGTAAAGGCAGAAGCTCGTCAAACCATTCTTTTTTTTAAAAATGAAGCTTGGGGATAGCGGGGTATTTGTCGCCACCAGTGCTAGTATCGCGCGCGATAACACTTGGAAGAACAGAAGGCGTGGACACCAGTGATGGCGTCGGGACGACTGACCCGGGGGCGGGGAATAACAGCCGAAAATCTTTTTTAGAAAGATATGCACCGCTCTAAATGTTTAACGACTGGCCAATGTGGGCGCTCGTCGGGGTCGAGGACGCGAATCGCAAGGCCTGGGAGATGCTGTTGCTGATAGGCTGATGGAAACGTGAAGCCGCAGCGGGCACCGAAGCAAGGACTATGGGTGCCAAACTTGTGGCTGACGATTTCAACTTAGAAATGACCCTCAATTTTGCGCGATTCGCTGCTCTCTTGCTCATGCTCTTTGCAGCATCCAGGAGCATGCTCTTGAATTCATCCAAACCGCTATTCTTCTCTCGCCCCGTGGTCTTCCGTCGTGTCCCTGCTGTTCTTCCAGGCGCTGCGCGCTTCGACGCTCCCGTCTTCCGTCTTGTTGTCGACATTGGCGCTGCGCGTGTTCTTCGAACTGTTCCCGTCGTCTTGTGAGTCTTTCCAGCCTCAATCTTTTTGCACCGCTCGTCGATGCTCGCGGGATGGCACAAATTCCACCCGGTAGTCGTCGGAGGGGTGAGACATGTTGCCGTTAAGAATACCCGCGCCAAAGATACTGTCAACGACATTGTCCCCAGCGATCTGAGCGCACCAAGGGCGAGAGGATCGCGTCATTCTCCGCGTAAAGGGCCATCCTGGTGGCGACTCTCAACAGCCCCCTCCATGATCCGGTCGAAGGGGGGCACCACTGGCTAACTGTTTGTTATACTGGAACGCATGTGCTTGTCTTCAATAGCTTTGGACGTGCGCTCGCTGAAATAGAGGAAGCATATACAGAGCCCCAGCTGCGCAAGTATTTTCTGGAGGCCTTTAACAAGCGGGTCACGATTACGAATACGTTTGCAGTGCAGAGTCGATCAACGGCAGTCTGCGGGGCCCATGCTGTCCTGGCGGGGCGGCTGTTTATAGAAGAGGGTTCTGTAGAGGGGCTTTTAAAAAGATTAATTGGAATGTTCGGCGGAGACACTCTAACTAATGACCATTAAGTACTCGACTTTGTGCCTCTGACCACAGGCGGTGTTCCTGACGATTTCGAAGCTGAAGAGAAGTCGCCTACGATACGTAATGTCAAAGCTGTCGTCCCGACAAAGCATGGTTGCGTTTCTAAGGACGGAAGCGTTAAGGAACGCCTCGCAGAGGTCTACTACAGTCCTGCAGGGTACTGGATGGGCCTTGCTGATATCCCAAAGCTGGCTAAAGAGACTGGCGTCTGCGAGGATGTGGCTCATGAATGGCTAACAAAACAGGCCATCTGGCAGATCTATTTGCCCGCACCAGCGCGAAGTGTTATTCCCCGACCTAAGTTTGATATCAGTACCCCGAATGAGGTCCACTAGGCTGATCTCTTTTTTCTGCCTCACGATCGAGTCGGAAGACGCACATTCAAATACGCATTGACGGTCGTCGACGTAGCAAGTCGGTATAACGAGAACCAGGCAATCACAGACAAGACAGCAACCCAGGTTGGGAAGGCGTTAGAGTCTTTTTATGCCCGTGGGCCTCTTCGATGGCCTTAAGTTTTACAAGTCGACCCTGGCTCGGAGTT